TTTTTCCCTTGTCATTGAAGATGGGAGTCAATATTGAATACTGATTATTGTGAATAGCGGGTGAGATGATAAAGATCTGTGTTGCTCCAACTTAGGTGGATCGGACACATGCGCGGAGTCAATTCGCTGATTCCTGTTCGATGGCAGCATATTGCAGCTGCATTACATCTTATCCGGGTGCGATACGCTCCCTATACCTGTAGTCCGCAAAGTGGGCGTCAAGAAATCTCTCAGATTCCGACACCGATTTCGCCTCGACTAGCGTCTCCGGCAACTTGTCCCAACATTTCACCACTCGAAGCTCGAAGCATAGAGGGTGAGCGATACACTTCAAATCCGGTACCACTAGTTTGTGCCCGTGTCCGCGCGTGCTGATTGTTGCGCGAACAAGCAACAGCGGCCTTAACATAAGGAAATGGCCCGGGTGCAGTATCCGGTGCGTCATTATGAGATCAACTCGAAGTCGACGATATGACAAGGTATACAGCCTTAGTCTCCTACATCGGTCCTCCTACGACGTACCCCGTAAACTGCTGAACCCTTTCCAGCCTCTGCACCTTATCTATTGTGATCGGACAATAAGCGGGTGAACCGTACTCAAGCACCGATGTTATCATGGAAGTGAACCGACGGGCACCAATCTCTTCAGACCAAGTGCAGGAGCTGCATCTAAGTACCTAAGGCAGGCGTAGTCCCTCTGCGTACAGTCTGTTCGTATTGTCGACAGACTTCAGATCACAGCGTGAGAGTACGCCTAGATCTTTTACGGAACTGGTGCGATGCAGCGGGTGGCCGGACGAGGTGCACGCACTCCTTGTCATTGGTTAGCACAGTTTCGTATAGCCATTCAGCGAAGAACACTGAGTATAAAACGTAGTATAGATTACGGTTAAAGTTCGTATTGTTGCGTTTGCCATTATCAATTATTGCTTCCGCTTTTTCATTGCTGTAATGCCTGTAGAGTTTTCATGCACAGACATTGTGAGGCTGACTATGTAAGTGCAGTTTTCAGGATTACATAAAACAGAGCTTTTAAAGTCACTGCACAGCTTCTGCAGGGCGTGCATGCTACAGCTCTCAACATGATACTGCCAGAAAAATTAACCGTGAGTTTAAATTAGATTATCACTGAGGCGAAAAGCACGAACAACCGCTGAACTCCTCTGAGTCACGAATATATGACCAACTGAGTGGAACCTTCTTTTACATGCCGGCACGGTTACTCCACTTCGATAGCATCCTCTGGCAGGTTGGCTTAAGAGACAAGGAGGATATGTAGCGAGGGGAAATGTGAAATACAGAAAGCTGCCCCGTCACAATTGCCTTGACCTCTTCGGAAATCCATCTTTTGACAATTTTAAACCATTCTTCTAATCTTTTTGTTCTGTTTTTCTTCCGCTTTCGTTCAACACTTACTCTGTTTTAGAGTAGTCGGGTAGGTTAAATTAGCAAAATACCAGACAATTCAAAAATTGAAATCGTATCTTGCCTTCTGCGTGCTGCGTTACAAACTCCATTGTTTCTCAGCTTAACGATCATACAAGCACAATGTAACAGGTGTGCTTTTGCTGGTTCGGTCATCCTACCTCTTCCCTGGCTGAACACAAAGTGGCAGCTCACATACTACACCTCTAATTAACGCATAAGAATCGATTTTCCACGATGACATCAACTTTTTAAGCACGAACTGCACCTAGAGATGAAGTCATTCCACCTCCGGAATTTTCGAACGAGTAAATTCTCCCGTTGTGATGATAAGTCGCTTCACGCATTATAAAACTAAGTGCCATTTATCTTTGATGTCTTTCTCTGTTCTTCCACCCCTTTAACTAATGCAGCATAAATGGATTAAATTCCATTAAAAGTTATTTAATTCATCACGATAGTTATGAAGTAAATATGCTATGCACAGCATTCTTATTCAATACGCATTACCTAACTTCAAACTTTTCCCCAGCAAATGTGCTCCGCAAACGAAGCAGTTTATCAACATACTTATGTGTTAATCTCATAATGTAACTGTGTTGTTGAGGTGCTTCAGCACATCTAGACTCAGCCAGACAGGCACCACACATCCAAGAAAACGTTAGAGGGCCGCTCCGTTCTATTGGAACTCATCAATGGTGCGCATCTGCCAGATCCTGCAAAATTCGAAACCCCGACCTTACTTTCACGAATCAGTGACTTTGCGACAGATCCATAAGTGACGGCAGCTGACCAGCATGACTGCCATCTAACTGCGATATATCACGCTGGAAACAAATCCCCTACTCCTCATTAATAATCAGTAATCGCCTTGGCAGCTTGCATGCCAACTTGGTTGATGGTAGCTTGCAAGGGCAGTTCTAACTCTGCAGACCATTCCTGTACTCTGCACATTCATAACACGCCTTAGAATGGAGGAAAACCCCCTCGCTGTATCGCAGTTTGAAATCATGTATGGAAGTCCGCCACGTCACCGCTGACCCGGTGGCATTAGTCGCTGACTCGTAAGAGTAAGGTCTTGGGTTCGAATACGACAGGATCCGACGGGTGTGCGCTACTGACTAGTCCCACTAGGACGGAAAGTTCGTCCAGCACTTTCTTAGACCTGTGACGGCTGTCTGCCTGAGCCTAGATATGACGAATGTCCTCAAAACAGGCCTACTTTTGGCAGCATCCGAAAGACGTCTTCGGCCCCTATTTTGTGTTGTCATCTAAGCGCTTATAGCAGCCACCATAAACAAACAATCCAAAGCAACGGAAACTTGATATCAATGGTTTTGAAAGGCCCAGACGCAATCATGAAAACGCCCAGTAAAATTCACTGGAGACCTAGATCCAGGTTCATCATAAGCTGACCGTATGAAGCTATCGGCGCGCTTTTATCAGCACGCAGGTTGTTCGTGAGTTTTGATTGCTGGCCGTTTGCATTGGTATGAATGACACTCACTTCCGCACCAGTGTCATTAATGAAATCAATGCAACAACGTCGATTCTTAAGGTTTGACAGATGTTGTTGTGTTATCGGTGAACGACTTGGTGGTGTTGGCTATTTGATTTCCCTGAGGCGGCTAAGTCTTACCTTGTGCATGGGGCCCGGCAACCTCTAGCTTTTTCGTCATAATGACTCTTGAGCGCAGCGTTTTCTGTCGTTGCTGGTTTTTTCAAGTCATATCCAGATATATGGACAGCATTACCGGCAACGGCTCTATAAGACTTGAAGAATTGATTGTTTCTATAGGGATTACCATGGGTACCACGGGTGCTACTCAAGTCTGGAGGAGTAATAGTGCAATCCCGCCAAACTCAATATATGTTGATAACTCACGCCTAACTATCTAGCACAGTTGCAGCAATACGGAAGACATTGGCATCCAACCGGATCTATAACCCAAACTCTGATTTGTTTTGTATGCAAATGTCTGCAATTGCAAAAGTAGACTTTGTCAATGGTTATATCACTTTTGCTTAGTCTACGCATTGGTACACAATTTAATGACGTCACACAGCGCGAAGTGCTGATGCTGTCATACCATCTACCGTGAAATAGATAAATGATAGCGCAAACTAAAGGATGATAAATGTGAACCTGAAAACTATTACCAAATTATTCTGAAATGTGTCCAAAACTAGAGCGTGCCGTAGGGTTCCACGAGCCAAATCACACTTGACTTTCATACCCAGAATATGTACCACAATACATACCGTTTTTCGAATCAAGTGGCCTGTCGTATTTATTTCAGGGAAGGCGCTGGCTTCATGCGGTAAACTTGTTTGTGAAACTAAGCTGTTCCAGGGGACACATATATCCAATATCAAGGACAACTGAGGTCCAGAAGCCAAAATGTTATCCCGCATTTATTGTCAGAAGAAATGAACAATGAACTATGATTTATAACAGGTAAAAAACAGGTGCTTGACATGCCCCGTAGGATGTTTAACGTGAAAAAAGATAGATCAATGGATAATTGAGTCGTCATTTCGGGCGCTTACAGGTGTAACTGCACTGTCGTATAGAGGGAAATGAGAATGTACGCACACAAAGCAACAGGGGAGTGGTTATTGTTCACATCATAGGCGAGAAAAATAAAAAAAGATAGCAAGGAAAACGCTTACTCGTGTGCAACTATCTTGGGTCGACAAGATACAGAAATCCAGTTTCTGTAGTACTAGCGTTTATCAAATTTCGTGCAAAGGGTTTGGAGTGACTCATTCTCGAGTAGGGTTATGGCACTATCCACTGTCTGTTGTGCATTAGTGCCAGCATCTGCTGGTCATGGACTATAGCACATAGTGTAAATGTGACAGAGTATCGTCAAGGCGTTTTTTGAAAAGGGATAGAGTGGGTGCATTAATTACATGTCCCGGGAGGGCGTTCCAAGGCTGTGCCACTCAAAGGGGGAAATAGTTTCGCCGACATTCCAGGCGGCTGTACTGCGTGACCAGCTTAAACTTGTGACCTGTTAGCGGGGTGTTTTGACTGACTACTAGAAGGGAATGGCATGGGTGGTTGGGGTTTCTCAGGATCTGGTACACCATTATGAGACCACCCCTTAGACGCCGATAACGTCCACTGTATATTGTGAGGGTCTTCAGCTTGAAAGTAACTAGCGTTTGTATAAGATTGCGTTTTGGACATGAACCGCTTGTAACACAGAGTACTGTTCACATTGCATTGGCAAAACTATAGTGAAATGAGTTTTTTGACTCGAAATTCATCACTGGATTTCCAGTCCGTTTCAGATTTTGCAAGAGCTATCAAGATATGCCGTCATTTGCACAAGAAAAAACTAAATGCTTATCAGTTTTCTTTCAACCGGCGTGCCTCGAACTGTGAAGAAAACTATTCACCGTTTTCACATTACTTGAAACAAATGTATTTCGCTTATTTTTATCGCATTTCTTCCTGACCAAGCACCTAAAGGTCGATTTATTTCCTCAGCCCTCTCAGTCTTAAATTGCGAGGGGTTTTTGTTGATCTCCGCAATCCAAAACGGTTAGTATTGCATCGGTCACAGCCAAAAGAAATGGTCAACTGAGCAAGTACGTCGATCCCACACGGTTGTCTTCGATATTTAAAATCCGGTTATTTGGTTGTACGCGTCGCGTGAACAATGCGGTGGAGCATCAAGACCACACAACCATTAGCTAGGAATAGGACTGCCTGCGTTATCTAGGCCTCATTTATCCTGCTTCGGACTAAAAACCCCTGGGTGCAACTGCCAAAAGTTCAACCAAGCTAGGCATGCTACGCCTACCACAAACTGACTCGTGGCGAATTTAATCCTCTAATAAGATCTGACAGCGTGGGAATTAATTGTCTTTGCAGTGGCAACATGTGGTCTGCAAGCTGAATGGCTGTATCGCCATGCATTATGCAGACTGTATTTTGGTGAAGGGAAAAACAAAGGACTTACTGTCCCTAAAACATAAATCGCAACTGATTAAGTGGATGGTGGTCGAAGTTTACACTTGGGTGAGAGAGAAAACAGTTGAGAGCAATTGGACTGGTACACCCTGTAAGCAGGTCAAGAGGAGAAGGCCGATGCAATAAATGTCGAGTTTACAATCCGGTGTGTAACGGCTGTGAATTTTGTATGACCAGTCAGTTGTCACAAACGAATAGACATCTGCCTTTCTTCAAAGTGTAACTTCTTCGGCTTGTATATTTTTCGGTACGTCGTAATATTACGCTAGGCGTTTGCCCATCGCATGTTTCTGCCCTTCTGCACAAAAGCTGAACATGTATTAACTAATTCATTTGTGACTTACGGCACTATTTGGTACTCAATCGCTTTAAACTATTTCTCTGAAAAAAACCGATCAAGTCGATCAAACATTGTAAACATATTCCTCTTTTCTAGTTTGACAAAGTAAACTTTGTTGATGGGCATTAGCCATAGAAAAGAACGGCTAGATTCTCTCAGGCCAAGGTCACTTGGTTGGAAAAACCACACTAGTATCGCACCTAGATGAAAGCTCAGCCATTGCCGAAAGCGAACATCGCACTGCCTGTCTGCCATTATATTACCTCCCACCTTAGATGTCAAAATTATTGCATCGTCTTACGATGCTCCATTTGTGGTGCAGTAAACCCCGAAATGTTGCTCTATCGCTGTTATTTTTGTGTATATTGAACGCTAATGAAGATCAGGGCCTACCACGTAGTGTTTAACGATAATTATTAGCAAGGCTGTTAGCAGAATGCAATTTTTGCAGCATGTAACACTTTAATGGTGCTTATCCATTATATTTCATTGAAAGGCGATAAACCACCCTATTTGTGTGTGCGCAAAATGTTGCCTTTTTAACTTCCTAAGGCCACACACTTCCTATTTCCCCATCAGGCGATTGTGCGTGGACCATGAAGCAGTTCGCCCAGATATTGTGCTTCTGGGAAAGGCATTGTCTGGCGGTTTGTTGCCGGTGAGTGTGTTTACCGTATGCGATTGTCTGTCAAGTCGACTTTCGCGAATAAAAACGTCGCTGATTGATTCCTCTTGCCCTCAGCAACGAACCCAGGAACATACAGATCTATTTTTTCGTGGCACGCATTACCTATTTTGTCCATTTTGGCTTCGCATACGTTGCATGTCAGTCGGGTGCAGCGTGCGTCAAGCAGTCGTGTTGTGAGGTACTAGAAGCGAGCAGTGTTGCTCCAGGAATAATTGGTGTGGTGCAAAGGGTGAAGCCATGAACGAATCCAAATGGCTACCACAAAGTACACACGCACCAATCAAAAAAGCAGGTGCAACGCAATGACGGGCGAAGTTAAAGGTAAATTATTGTTGTCATTAAAGACAATGGCTGAAATACCTTATTGATGATCTATGTATCATCAATCCGTAATAAACTGTGTTTAGAGTTGTGCTGCATGCTTCTGTACAGTTTCTTGGAGATCAACTCTATCTGGTATGAGTAGTTAGTAACGAAATTGGGGAGTTCTTCATTACTGTGGACAACTGCTCATAAAAAAGCTGGATGTGGAATTCTATTAATTTGCAACTTGTTAGACGTGGCCGTTTGTGTCGAATTGCGGCAGGTGAGAAGCAAGTTGTGTTTTATTTTCCAGCTGAGGAGTGTAAACAGCCGCAAAATTGGTCTTGAAATTCAGTGTTTCAGCTGAGGAAGCCATTACATATGTATGTTTAGGATAAGGCCGACTTAACTGAATTGGCTAAACAATACTCCAAAGTGACGCGAAATCCGGAATGATATTGCGAATCCTAATGTTCTCGGACAAGTTCTTCAAAAGGAGCTCCCAATGAAGCATTTGCCGTTGTGACAAGTCTTGCTCGTGGCGCAGAGGTGTGGGTGTTAAAACTCAAGCTGACATCCCAACATCCCAGGTTGAATTTATCCTCCGCTATTTTTAAACGACTTATTCTTGCAAGTATGAACCGCTCTCAGGGCGTAGTGTTACTAGCACAGCAACAAATAAAAGTTGGCTTACAAATTGACTTAGGACAATCCACGCTTGCCGCAATTGAACCTTGGGTCCGGTCACCCTCACAATACAAGAAATGGTTACGGCGTTGCAACAGATGAGCTATTGAAATTGCTTGATGAGTTCAGTCGCTGAATGTCTATGTCACCTCTGGTGGCCACAACACTGAGGAAGGTGTTTCGCTCATCAGCGAAACTCGCATGGCTTTTCAGGGTCATATACATTTGCGGGGACATCCTGATTACAATCGGAGTCAAAGTTAGGGTGAACAACACTCGGACACAATTTCGTTTACCATATGGATCAACCCTTTGCACTGAAGAAGTCGAGGTTTTTGATTCTTGAACATAGACGATTACAAAGTGTTGCCCAAATCTGGCTGAAAGATGGGCTGAGCAATTTTGCATTTCATGAGTCGCAGCAGGTAAAGAAGCTCTCTATGAGTGTGTGTGTGTCAAGTTTGAATCGTTGAACATCAGCTAAGTGACTCTTTCAGCGCACTTTATATGCCATCTTCGCAACCGGATAAGCGAAACTGGGGCGTTGCCAGTCGATGTGCCGTATAGATATTGAAAACTTTACAGTGAGACTTTTCGCCTTTGTAGATGGGGCCACGGAATAGGCCACATCCGCTACTGAATACACTATCTATTGTGGCGTACTCGCAGGTACACAGACTCAAACAATCGGTTTATTGCATCTAGCTGTTAACGCCCCAAATTGAGTAATGTCAAGATAGCTACAAATCACCTTATATCATATTCTATTTCCACCATGTCTCATTTTTCTTGGCATTATGACACCTTTGTCTTGGTAGCGCTTTTCGTGAAAACTGGATTAACCATACTTCATAACACGGATCCATATTGTTCAACTTAGCTATGCGGAACCAGTTACCTTTTGTTTCACCCAGTGTCCGCTGCGCAACTCCATAGAAACCATAAGTCTACTTGTGTCTGAGTGCATTATAATATCAATGGCGTCAAATCAAAAAGCTTTCCAAACCGTACTAGGATCATGGTACTCTATTCTCCACTTTAATACTTTCTAACTTGTAAGTGAAGCTGATGCGATCTAACTAGTTCACTCTTTCCTTGAACAATGTTTCGTACCATATTGTTATCATGCAACAGCACCATAGTACCCTACGTCTAGTGGCCAGAAGAAAAATTAATGTGGTACTTACTTTCGGGCTAAAAGTTTATGGTGAATGAAAAAGACTGCCGCTTTCTATACAAGTCATGAATGATTTGGTCATCTAGACTTAATTATATTTGGTTTAATCTTAACTAGACAATGTTGAAGTGAACAACGTTCTACCGCATCAGTTATGGCTTAGGTGATCCGAAAGAGATCTTGCTTTGCGTCATATGCACAGCATGTTGACTGATTGATCGTTTGCAATTTCCATTCGGATCACTTTCTCTTTTCAGGTCTCGGCCGTACTTGCAGATGATCCCGTAATGCTCTGCATCAAACCAGGCGAACACGGTTCAACTTACGGCGGGAATCCGCTGGCATGCAGGGTAGCAATGACTGCACTCCAAGTGAGTAGGACAACGCGTGTACCTCGGATCATATCCCATATGCAACAATACAATTTTCGATAGATTTCAGCCTTCAACTGTTTAATATTTTATTTATCAGATTTCGTCTGTAATGTATAAAATTTAATCTAATCACCATCTAAATTAAAGCATGATCATACTGACAGTGAGGCCGTGGACCTTGCATGAGAGACCTTACGTAAGTGAGCCTACATGTGGAATGTGAGAGCGGTGCGAAAATTTCGGGGTCATTACGCCCACTGGCCTGAGCGGGACATCACGATAGCCAAACGGTGGACAGCACACGCGCTTGGCATACGGGGGCATCAGTTTAGTTCCGAAACCTCAAGGTGATTTCACGCGTCTGACCTATAAGTGGAAACGTCCATACGGTTCCGATAGTCCGTCTCTGGTCAGCGGAGTTGTCATTTGTGCTTTCCCTCAGTTTGGCTGCACGGGAACCGCACGCAGCGGGCAAGGCGAAAAGAAAATCTTCATCATAGTCCACCTACTAAGTTTGTCTTGAATTTGATTTACATGGTTTTTTAACCCTTAGATCACATGACGCGCGATGGGAAAAAGAGGAACGTACGCCAGTCATCCGTCCGATGTAAAGGCTCTTATCCTGAAGACGGCAAAAACTGAAAGGTTATTGCATCTCTGTAGCTGGTAAATGTGAAGACATGTAGAAGTTGGATTAGTACATAAGAATTGAATGAGCCCACAAAAGATAGTAAAGTGTCGCGTCGAAAATGTCTGTCAGATAGTCACATGAATTGTTCGGTGGAATGGAAAGGAATTGGACCCTACGGTTACCATGGAAGCTCTTAGGTTATGACTGAAGGTGAAGTTCGAGGTGGAAGTGAGCGTTAGCACAATCCCTCGTTACCTGGACGGTCGCCACATTAGAATGAAGAAATTATATGCAATCCCGGAATCCATGAATACGATGGATAGCAAAAGGCTAAGGAAGGCGTACGTGTTTAAATTGATGAACTTGGAGGCAGAAGGACGGCGAGTGGTATGGATAAATGAGACAAACCCGTCACACCGATCTGGAGCGTAGCTTCCAAGTAGAGCCTTACAGCTCAGGAAGACTTCTAGGACTGGCACCGTACTCTCCGCAACTGAACCCACTCGAAGGCATTTGGAGTACCATTAAGGCCTAGGTTAAACAAATCATTAGGCGGCGATATTCCGAAATGCTCCGAAGAGATCCGGATGGCGTACTGAGCAAGACTGAATGGAGGATGCAGTTCTTGTAGCACGTTGTTGCAGAAGCACGTGCCTGCGTGATGCTGCACCACTGTCAACAAATGGTGCAGCGTGTACCAAATACCTACACACTTGCTTTGCACCTACTCGATCTGTAACCCGTTTAAAACCACTGATATATTTCTTTTAACGTTCACCGATGTTTTTCCTTAAAAGCAATGTGGGGCCACCCCGAGTAGGTTACATCCTTTCTTTCAGTTGGAATTGTCTCTCGCTCTGCGAAAGTTCACTCGGAGATAGCAATAATTACTGCAAACTACGATTACGTTGGGTTCTCGCTGCAGTGATAGACCATGTGTTGTTAACCGATCATTATGTAGTACATTGAAAGCTACCGATTGTGCGAAGACATGTCACACGCCGTTCCAACTAACTTGGGTAAAATTGTACACGTTCCTGGGCGTATATCATAGATACTGGTCGGTGATTTGCTGTATGATCAATGTATACGACCCGGCCGAGACTTCACCATCAAAGTGGGCTACGGTCAAAGTTCTTCTGATGCTGGCCGGCACTCCACCAAGAGAAATGTGGCCACCAGACTGGCGACAAACTCGGTCTGTTTACACAAACTGGGTTTCAACCGCTTAACTGCAGAAGCCTTAGTAAACTGAAGCAGGCGGGCGACGCTCTGTTTTTTGGTTATACGAAATGATTCATGGGGGTTTTCATACATGAAGCACTCAAACGTGTGTCGGAAGATCGAACTGGCAGACATCGTTTGACCGTTTTCGATCAGCTTTCGAGGAATATCCCCAGAAATCCTTGTGGACAGTGTTCGTTCAGTTCGGCCAACGTACTCGCTACCGCAAGTACAGGGAAACAGTAAATGCTTAAGGCGGTAACTCGAGAGTCTAGTTTGTCCAGGTTGGATTTAAACAGCAACTTGTTACCTTGGTGCAAAATTACAAGCTCAGTGGTGTAATAACACTTTCTCATAGATTGACGGTGGCGGTATCGGAATCTTCTGTCATTTTTGTCGCTTTTGAATGGTAGCGTTATGAACACTTTTTTCTTAGGGATATCGGACACCCATTCGTTCCTAGTACACGCGTTCGCCTTCGAGTGCCATGCTGTGAACTTCCCTGGATATCCGTTTTCATGTAATGTCAAGGAAACTCGTTGCAGCTACAGAGGTCCCACCCGCAAGAAATTGAGTCAAGAAAATGAACGCTCGATATGTGCCATCTAACGTGAGTAGTTAATTTGGAAGGAACAACAACTGCACGTCCAAAACGTGTACGCTTTTGTCTGTCTGAGTTTGGGACAAGTGCTAGTTGGAGAGGATAGGGAGCACTGGAGCCGCACATCGTTTGGGTGTGTAAGGTGCTCTGTGGCGATGTTTGTTCCGCATCTGTGTCGGGAGTCTGTTGCGGTAACTGGAATTAGAGGTAGGCTCGTTTCAGGCGATCCATATTGGCATAGTCTTTGGAACCATCGAAATACGTCTCTTTGCGAGTGATGACTTTGGAAAGGCCTTCGTAAGGCGGTGTTAAATGCTTGCGAACCGCATCGATGCGTACGAAAACGAAGG